TACACAGGTTATCGTACTCAACGATATCTATTGTCTTCCTTTTCATGGTGTCCAGTCCACGATTCCGAATTCGGAGCGTAATTTCCTCTCTTTTATGTGTGGATGGGAGCGAACAAAAGGCAAATGCTACACGAATGTGCGTCCAAATAGCGAGGAGTAACGTGTTACATAAATTTGATTCACGTGAATTTAGTGCACCTCACCATTTAGATTGGACGAGTTCAACTGAAGTTGATCACATTAGATGGTAGAGATTTCACAAATATCACATGAATCAAGCTCATGCCACAAGTTTTGGGAATCAATAAGGTTTAGGCGATGCACGATTTTACCTCCATAAAGTCAAAATACTTTTGCCAGCTTCAAGTTCTTTTTTAGGAAAAATTGGTAAATATATCGAACATCTGTTCAATTTTTGAGAAGTACACTCAAAGTAAATTGATTTTACTAGACCGTCGTAAATTTAGCTTAAATTAATGTAAAAGATAAAACATAGTACTAGCACCATTTTGACATTTTTTTAAGCTTCCGTGAAACAATTTTAACTAGACGCACGAACCATGCGATGCAATGGAATTATGTTATAGTTAACGTAGGAAGAAATTTCTACGTTAAATAAGTATCTATCTATCAAGGGAGGGAACACCCTTTGGTCTCTCCCACTATCTTTTAATTTTGATTTCTAATCAGATTAAAAATATAAATAAATAAATATAAGTCATGACTACCATTTCTGTAAAACTTAATGCGGAAGTTATTGTTCCTAAAATCGTATCAATCTCCTTAGATTCGTCACTTTTAATGTTATGTAGAATGCTTTTGAAGCTTCTATTCACAGTGAGAAGGGGTCTAGAGATCAAAGCGATGACGACATCGGAGCTTACACGTAATTTTAAATTTTGTAGAGATAAAAATTATAATTAGAATTATTCGAATTGGCGAAAGAATGTAAAATGTTTTGAATGCAATAAGCCAGGTCACTTGAGAAAAGAGTTCCCACAGCTCAAATCAAAGGAAAAGAAAGGTGAAAAGAAAAAGAAATAAGCCGGGTCACTTGAAAAAAAAAAGTTCTTTTAGGCTCAATTTGCTTCGCAGAAAATAAATGATTTAGAAAATATTTACTTAAAAATAATACCTTTGTATCGCTTAAAATAATTAGTTAATGAAAAATATTTTCATAATTCAACAACAATTTATGTCTAAACAATTTCGTAGACAATGAAAAAAAAATTTGTTGATTCATTTTTGTTAGTAATACCAGCTATCGTGTTTTGAGGATAACGTTTTCCAAATCATTTTCACTAAACAAATGAACCCTTAAAAAAAACGAAATGAATCTATTAGAAGTGATATTGAAAATTCGAAAAATGAATATGAGGTTTTGAAAAAGAAAATTGAAGAGTGGAGGTCTTCCTTTCAAAAAGTTGAAGGAAGCAAGAATAAAAAAAAAATATGTTTGGTAGACATCATGTTAATCATAGAAATGATCGAGATCATAGACATTGTTCAATCTAGTAGGTTTGCATCACATGTATGTTATGGCTGTGGTAAATTTAGACATATTGCAAGAAACTTTAGTCTAGAAGATCTGGATTCCTCAGGAAGTTTTTTATGGATCCAATGTTGTTTTCCAAACAAAGAAGCATTTTCATATAAAAAAAATAGTTATTTTGAGGGGGCGCTTGATTATGTGATTATTTTTTAAAGGAGGAGAATGTTAGATTTTAAAGTTTGAATTTATTCGTGGTATTGTTTTATGATTTTTATCATCGTAAAAAAATTGGGGAGATCCTATGTGTTTTGATGACTACAAAACCATCAATAACTATCGATTTTTGTAAATTTGTTCAAACGAGATTAAGTACGCAGGCGACCGGACCCTTATGTCTAGGCTCCTAGCTAGAACTCTATTTTGACCAATTATTTTTTAGAGCGAGCGGCCGATCGAAAGTCGCAATAGTCGAAAATTAACCGTTAGATTGTGTCCTAATCTTGCTTGGTTTTCGTAGAGATAAGGCTCCATTTGTTTCGTCAAAAATAAATAATTTGAAAAATATTTTTCTAAAAATAATCGCATGTATCATTTTATTTAATTAGTTAACGAAAAATATTTCATTATCGACAACAGCTTTTATCCAAATATTTTCATAGACAATATAATTTTTTTCATCCTGTTCATTTTTTTAAGCGATACAAGCGGATTGTTTTTTTGAAAACGTTTTTCAAATCATTTATTTCCGCGAAACAATCGGACTAACCAATGTAGCCCTTAGGGGTTTAGAACACACATAGTCATATCTAAGTGTGAGAAATCTCTTGTACACAAATTTGCTATTGTAAACCACAAGTGAGATGAGAGATACACTCGAGTGTAAAATATAAAGTCGAACTACAATAAATCACTTTAATCTTGGGGTTTAGTGTACTGTTCACACGTTTGTTTGGTTGATCTATATTTCTTGGTTGCCGAACTATGATTTTGAATAGTTGCCGTTGTACTTTTTGGGCCAACAACAACATCCTAAATCAAGATGATTAGTATCTGGCAAATAATCCAAGCAAATAATTATCATACCAATTTTAATCATTCGACGTTCCCTTAATTGCAAACGAGAATGCCATACTCCAGAAAACATGGAGGAATCAGATTACCTTCCCTGAATCTCCAAATGTCTCTAGATATAATTTTTCATACATTCCAAATTTACAAACCCTCCTAAAATCTATAAAAGCACCCCAAGCATCAGTTTTTTCAAATATCCACAGCATCGCACCTTCCTCTCTACTTTCGAGTTCTCTTGTTTGTTCGAGATTAGCCCTTGAAAGAACACATCTTCTTCTCACCCAGATGGAGACCCTCGCTTTTCCTCGTATTTTCGTAGCAGTCCTCCTCCTCTCAGGTTTCAATTCCCGACCTACTCTTATCCCAAGATGTCCTCAAATCCAAACGGACAAAGAGAGTCAATCACGATGCAAAATTTGGAGTTATTTATGTTCAATCCATTTCTTCTTTTGCTTTTAAATTTTAAATTAAATTTGGAATTAAATGATGAGATCGTTAAAAGGGTTCGAAACTCTAGGATGTTAAACTTGGGGGTATTTTTTGGGGTGAGGGAAGAAAAACAATTCTCCCAATTTAGAGGGTTGAGTGTACGGATACCGACACGTTAAATTTGGAATTAAATGATGAGAAATATAGGGAAAATTTCAAATCAGTACTCAAAGTGGGGTCATTTTCTCAAAAAGGGGTCCAAAGTGGACATAGTGCTAAATAAGAGTCTGAAGTGCCCAATCAGCCTCAAATAGGGGCTCGAAGTGCCCAATTAGTCTCAAGTAAGGGCTTGAGTTCGCTGGCCGGTCAAATACTCACCGGCCGACAAGCACGTTACTATTCCAGCGACCGGAATAAGGGCAATTTCGTCGTTTACTTTTTAATTTTTTTTTGTTTATTTTTTCCTTTTTTTTCTTTTTTTTCTTTTCCTTTTCCTTTTCTTCTTCTTTTTTTTTTCCTCTTTTCCCTCCGCCGGCCATAGCCGGGGCTGGCGGAGGTTATCGGCCTCGGGTGGAGTACTGATTTGGGTACTGATTTGAAAATGAGCCAACTTTGGGTACTGATTTGAAATTTTCCCAGAAATATATGCATGGAAATAAGTCTGCCCAAGTTCTAAGATTCTCTTTCAAGCCAAAGCAATAATGTGGTTCATTTCACTTGATGGTTGACGGATGTAAACTTGCAGGGATGTGCATGGTGACGGTGCCCCATGCAAATGCCCAGAAGAGATGTCAAGAGTTGCTGGACCCGAACAGCTGCACCCTCTACAATTGCCAGAAGGCGTGTTACCAGAAGCACACCGCCCAGCAGCCCCGCGGAGAGTGCCTAGCCGATTCCAACTTCATGTACAGATGCGCTTGCTTCTTCAACTGCTGATCATTATAGATCAAACCTCTTCTCATGATGATCTGCTGCTTTGAGTCTCTCTTTTTCTCGGATCCCCTTTTTTCTGTCTGTCTGTTTGAGTGCTAAAAGATTTGCAATCGGGTCGAAAATAAAGAGGTCGCAACTTTGATAATACCTTGATAATGTCATTGCTCTCTCTCTCTCTCTCTCTCTCTCAATTCATTCTTGCACATACACGTGTGTTTGCCTCTCTAAAGGGATTGGTCCGGATTTTGCGCCTCCAAAACCTAAGGTCGACTAAGATCCGATCCCTAGTTGTAAGTACGTGGACATGATCACAACGAAGTAATTTCTTTTGAATCCTCTAATTATCGGCGTAGATGGCCTGTCATAGATTGGAATGGGAAGGTGGACATAATCTGTTACACGAAAATTTGCCCAAATTCTAACTATTAGTAGATCAATTTTATATACATCCCACGAAATCGATGAATTTTTTCTTTGATCAGATCATGAAATCTGGATGATTAGTACTGCATTATTTTGGAACAGTTTATTCACGGCATTAATTCATTCTATATAGCCTCTAGACTACCCACCAACCTAAAACGCTTCCAAAACTTCGAAATGCCCAACACGCCCAGATCGACCACACAATGGCCAGATCTCTACCCAAACTCATCCTCATCACGCTTATCTTCTCTCTAACCATCTTCGCCGGACGATCCCAAACATCCGCCCGCAGCCTGTCGATCGAAGCCGGGCCGAGAAGATCAGACAAGCTGAGCCACCTCCACTTCTACTTGCACGAAGTGTTTGCTGGCCCAAACTTCACCGCCACACAAAGTAGCCTCAGCCCCGACGACTAGCCAGTCGGCCACATCCTTCGGCGCGGTCTTTGTGATCGACGACATGGTGAAGCTGGGCCCTAACACGGGCTCAATTACCAAAATGAATCTTCTCATCAATTACCAAACACAATTCTTTTTTTTAAATGACCCAGAGAAAAAAGCCATTTTTTTTTTGGTCCTTAACGGCACCATTTTACGTAGGAAGAATAAGCCCAGCAACATTGCACAATGCTTAGTGTATGGCAGACGGTAGCTTGGAGGGCGTATCAACTAAAGCAAAGGGGACATTCTCCCTTGAACTAGGAAAATTACTCGATTTCATCCCAACCCACGAAGCAAATTGACTTACGGGGCCACTTGAGTGCTTACGAGAGTAAAATAGATCCTCCAAAATCTCCTTTCTTTCATAACCCGAGGGCACAATTGATGCCGTAGCCGCGAAATCTCCTGCATAACAAGATCATCGTGAAACAAAGAGAAGCTATCATGGCTTCTCGCAGCAAAACACGCACAGAGATCACCAAGCCAAACATTTAGACCAGAGGCAGCATAGGGAGCTCTTTCAAACCTAAACAACAATGATCAGAACGATAACTCCTTGTCCAAACAAAACTTCATTGAGCCGATCTGAAACACTCGCAAGCACATTTCTTACCAAGCCACAAGAACTCGGCGTCGTACCTTCACGGTCGTGAGGACGAGAGTCGCGTGTTTCGCTTGCCACTCCGTCAGATCCCGCTTCACGTTTGAACCAGCCGCGGCAGCACCGCACTCCTCCTCCACCTCTTCGTCATCTACCATCACAACCAAACCATCAAACGACCACGCCAAAATCAATCCCTACGACCTCACAAGAGCCTCGAGGACATCAAAGAAATGTACCTCGAATTGGTAAGTTCTGGAACGTCGTGGGCGTGGACCCCTTGACGAACTCCCGCAGGTCGCCGGTGACGTCGAGCTTCTTGAGGTCCTCCTCCTCCTCCAACGGCCCCGGGGGAGCGGTGGTGGCGGCATTGGCGGAGGGGCCGGCGTCGAGCGCGGGGAGATGGAGTCGGCGATGGACTTGATCTGGTCGGCCTGCTTGAGGGCGGCGGCCTTGAGCTCGTCGGCCTTCTTGGAGCCCTAAGAATCAATCAAGGTTGATACTTTAATATTAATTTTGGATTAGGTTGTGTCGGAAAACCGATCTTCACTATACTTAGGTAGTCATAATGTCTTGTTAGAGACCGCTTATGACTTGTGGGCCAAAAGAGTTTTGGGCACACTGCTAATGTTTAGTGAACCTACAGGGTCGCACACAATAGCGAACGGACTTAATATTGTCTGTGCTCCTTGATCTACTTAAGAAGTAGATTTTAATTTATTCTCCTATTTAAATTATCTATGCGGTCGTGCGCGTTATGAGATAACGATTAAACGTACGATTGAAGGTGGACGGTTTGGCGGGCCCAAATAGCTCGGCTCACTTCTTTTAATTCCGCTAGATAATGAGGCTGTATAAATAGATAGAGAATCGTTCTCTGTCTAGGGTTTTTTCGATAGAGTATCGAAAATCAAAAGGTGTTCAAGAAAAGGAACTTCAAGATCTTTCGCTAGCACGTGGATCGTTGGAGAATTCTGTTCGTGTGTGTGGATACCGGTAGAGGCGCAACACTTGGGGCGCTCATCCGACACAATCGTCTTTGATTTATCTTCGATCTGCAAAAGGTACGTATCGAAATTCCTTTTCGATTTCAATATACACATGGATCCTGTCTAGGGTTCTATATTCCGCTGCGCTGTTTTCGTTGATGAACCCTACAGTGGTTTGAACTTTTTAAAACATGACTTCTCTCCAACATCTCGATCTTTCAAGGAACTTTTTCAACTCATCAATTCCCATGTGGTTTGACAAGTTTACAAGCCTTGTTCATCTCGATCTCAAGGGAAATCTTTTTGACAGCATTGAGGGAGGCTTATTCTCATTCTTAAAGAACAAGCGGTACCTCAAGTCGTTGCGTTTGTCTGCTAACGAAATCGGAGAAGAGATTTCAACAACCCAAAGAAATTCGTCGAGACTCAATGAGAATAACTTAGAGAGTCTAGAGATACGTGGTAATCTTCTTAAGGTTGCTTTGCCCAACTGGTTAGTGCACTTTACTAACTTAAAATACATTATGCTTCCCTACAATTCCATATCCGGTTCAATCCCTAGTGTCATCGGGTCATTGTCGAACTTGGTAACACTAGATCTTTCAGATAATGGATTGAATGGGACCATTCCATCATCATTAGGTCGGTTGTCGTCATTGAGATGGTTAGATCTTTATAATAATCAATTGGCGGGGCATATTCCCAAGTCATTAGCAAAATTGCGGGCTTTACAAGATTTGTGTCTTGCCAGTAATCATTTGACCGGTACTATACCCAGTAGTTTCGGAAAGCTTTCTCATCTCTTGGGTCTGAATCTTGGTAATAATTCTTTGGGAGGTGTGATTTCGGAAATCCATTTTTCTAATATGTCAATGCTCAAGTTTTTGGATGTTAGTGACAATAATAACTTGACTTTCAAGGCAAAACCCAGCTGGATACCACCTTTCCACCTTCTATTCATTGTGCTAAAATCTTGTAAATTCGGAACTCCATTTTCCCAGTGGATTCGGACACAAGTGGAAGCCGAATGTATCATACTCTCCGATGCTTCCCTTTTTGGGCCCCTGCCAAATTGGTTAGCCAACATGACGTTCGACGAGCTCAATCTATCTCACAATCAAATTACTGGACCCTTGCCTAGCTTATCTTCTAACTGTTTCGCTTTGGATCTCTCCCACAACTCGATCTCTGGATCTCTTCCGACAGAGATTGGTGTTATGTACCGATTAGATTTTCTGTATCTCAATGATAACCTAATTAATGGTACAATACCGTCATCGTTATGTACCGTGATGGGCATGTGTGCTTTGAATCTTGCCAACAATAAGCTATCTGGCAGTATTCCGGACCGTTGGAAGTGTTCTTCATCTCCCTCAACTTTGTCATTCAATAAGTCGTCTGCAGTACCTCCATGCTCAATGAGACCCGTCATTTCTTTCCTACGCTTGAATGGAAACCGTCTCAATGGGGAGATTCCTCTGTCTTTGGGTTATTGCACAAGGCTAGAAATTTTAGACCTTGGAGAGAATAACTTCTCTGGTAGCATCCCGACATGGTTCGGCGAAAGCTTTAGTTACTTGTCGATCCTGAGGCTACGAGAGAATAGGTTTACGGGAAGCATCCCTCCGCAGCTCTGCTCACTCTCAGGATTGAAAATATTAGACATGGCAGCGAACAATTTGAGGGGAACGATCCCACGTTGTCTTGGCAATATGAGCGGCATGATAAACTTCAATCAAGTCAATCCATTTGGATCTCCATTGCCATTATATCCTTTTTGGGATCAGCTTGTGGTTGAGATCATGAAGGGACGATACAATGAATACACCAATATTGATCTGCTACTTGTGGTCAATTTGGATCTCCCAAGCAACCATTTGACCGGGTCAATCCCCAAAGAATTTGCTTATCTCGCGGGATTGCATGGCTTGAACTTGTCCCACAACCTTCTCTCTGGAGATATTCCCATTGGCATTGGGAACATGACGTCACTCGAATCTCTTGATCTTTCGAACAACCACCTCTCGGGGACAATTCCGCAGGGCATTTCAGCGTTAACATTTCTGAGCCACCTCAACCTATCTCAAAACAACTTCACCGGGCAGACAGAATACAATGCAAGCCTCATCATCATATCAGCCATCTCGTAAGCTGTGGTACCAAATCTGGCATCTGAAGGCCCACCCTAAAGTTAGAATTTTTCTCTGGAACCTGTGCCAAAATGCACTCCCTACCAGAGAAAGCCTATACAAGCGCAAGATCATACCTCAGCCAGTTTGTCCTTTTTGTAATCACGAAATCGAAAGCGGTGGAACATCTGTTTTTGCTCTGCCCTTGGACCGGCTCGGTTTGGAATGATCCTGCATTAAATATACAGTCAGAACATCACGCGGATGGACGAATGGCTACAAAATCACCAACAAAAGCCAGCTAACTCACTTCCCTTTGAGAAAATCGCAGCCCTTCTCTGGTACATTTGGAAAGCAAGGAACGATCTTGTATTCCGTCGAAAACAAACACCCCCCCTGTCCCCCCCCCCCCCGAAACACTAATTGCTTCAGCGGAGTCGATGATCAGCAATTATTGTAAGTGGAACACTAAAAGTTCAACACTTGACTCGAATCAAGCTCACTTACCCTTGAATTGGTGTCCGCCGAAGAATCAGTCCTTTAAGATAAACATCGACGGTTCCTTCGTAGCTGGTAGTCCAGAGGGAGCGATCGCAGGAGTCCTCCGAGATACCTCAGGAGTTCTGATAGACGGATTTGCTAAAAAAATCCGAGCTTCCTCGCCCATCCAGGTGGAAACCCTGGCTCTGGTGGAGCCGTTGAAGCACTTCAGTTTGAGAAGAAACGAAGTACTGTACTTGGAGACCGACAGCTTGAATCTCTTTGAAGCCATGCAGGAAAAAACTCACGTGCCGTGGGAGGTGGAGGCGCCCATCTTGGATGCTCAAAGCCCAGTTAGCCTATTTTAACAACATCACCTTGGCCCATTGTGGAAGAGTCGCAAATCAAGTGGCTGATTGGGTAATTAAGGCCCGAAGATTAAATACTCTTCCTCCTTCTTGGTTATCCCAGCCCCCCAACCTCTTTAGGACCTGTTGTGTTTTGATGTCCCTTATTTGAGCGTTTTGTCTAAGACTTCTTGATGATAAATAGAACTTCTTTCCGACCAAAAAAAAAAAGAGGTGACGTCGCTGATTTGCGTCTATTAAAAATGGTGATATTTCCGGTTCTCAAATTTTGAACATGATGAGTTTGCTTGGAGATTTATGTATTGTCAGCGACCGTATGGAATCTGAATTTAACCTTACAAAAAGATTACTTTGAGGTTGCTTTACCAAATTTAGCTATATCTGTGTTTACCATCTTACTTTGCTTAAGTTGAACACGAGTTATTTTTTAAACTACTTCGGATCGTCGGTTTTTTGCGCAACTACTTGCTCTCTTAACGAGGAATGTTGTTTATGATCATCCCATATCTCCTAGAGACTCGTCGAAGTAATTTTCCAAAACCGTGTTTTAATCCTTCGATTATGTTTATATTTTGCCTCGATTCTCGATTCTTCTGTGTTTTTTGAGCTCAGAGGCCTCTTGATGATATCCAATCTAAGAGGATGGAAATTGATGGCAAAGCCGTACTCTTAGCTTCTCATTTCTTCCCCTTCATGAATGACCTTTGGTCTCTCTGCTAAAAATCAACCATGCTTGTCTCCAGTCTCAACTAGGCTTTTTGTCCGAATTGTATATAGAGTTTGAATTCCTCAACCTTCTCATATTCATCATCCATCCAAAAGCTCGTTGCTACATTTTTCTCTACAACAAAGGTGGTGGTTAGATTCTGTCTTTTCTGGATGCTATTAGCAAGTGATCGCGAATGTTTATCCCCACTCATTATCAGACCTGTTTTTCTAATATAAGATAAGATACATATGCTGTTCGATTCTTTTCTTTTGGGAGCATTTTATTTTATGATAGCTCTGAGTTTCTTAGTGTAGTTTATATGTAGGAATGGTACTCTGACCCTTTCACTTTCTGCACATGAATTGCGTTATTGATCCCTTGCTCAATTACCATCACTATTAGTTTAGTGATTTGCATTCATAGGAAACACTAAATAACTAAAGAATCAAATTACATCCATGGAAAACAATCGACACACGTCTATTGAAAGAAAAGCCTACATAGAGATAGTTCCTTTACAGATTGAACTGTTAATGTTTTCTATGGTCGAAATCATCATTTATCTTGAAAATTTATGGACGAAGCAAACTCAAGTTTGAAATAGGTGTTGTGGGAGAAGAATTCAGAAATAAAGAATAAAAATTTACATTTGCGATGCTGTGAAAGTGATCGCAGTATGTTTTTCGCTGTTGTTTCCTATTGTCTTGCTTTTTGAGCAATGGCCGAGAATATCTTGTGTGTAGCACGGGCAACAAGACTAGTTGAAATTGTCATTTTAAAATTGGTAATTTGATAAAAGTCATGACGTGAAATGGACGGTGTTGTTATAGACACGCATTTATACATAGAAACAATCATTAACCCAAAAGACTTGACTTAATTAGGTCCGTGTCCAGCACTGCAAAAATTGAGCGTAGTGTCCCACGATCTCCTTAATTGGGCTGCTTTTCACTTAAACTAATCTGTAGTGGTTGAATTCTCTCTTCCGGATGGGGCCCTGTCATTAACTTACAAACTCCCACTTACAAGAACGGACGTGCCTTCTTTTTATGACTCTGATTATGGTATGTGGACCTTACATGTGCTGCACATACATCCTTTGAGACAGTACACTTGCATCCACATCAGGTGCATGTTATGTAACCACACCGCATGAGAAATGAGCAATCTCGTGCCCTCTCCCCGCCCTTTGGTTCTTCATTTCGGGTGTATTTAGAACTTGTGCTCGTGTGATCTCTTCCCTTCCATTACTTTGCTTATCAATGTAATGTAATTAGCACGCTGTGAGGTCTAATTCGCAAAACAATACTCTTTCTACTGTATCTTCGCATGCCAAACTTTGCTCTCCGCTCTCTCTTTTCAGCCAAATTTGATTTCTACTCGGCTTCTTTTCTCGCATTTTATGTGGCCGAAGGTCATAGTGCAAGATACCTGTTAATTAGGGCTGGTCCGGACAGATTTAAATGGGCCTCCAATTCTTGGATCATTGGGACGGACAGGGAAGCAGGCAAAATTCTAGGGTCCGGACAGATTAAAATGAGCACTGTGAATATTCCAATACACTAATCGTTATTAGTTACCTGTTATATATTTTTCATGATAATATTTTTGTATCGGAAAATGTTATTAAAAATAGTAGTTCTTGTCTGAACATGAAACTTAGTGGTTCAGATACATTAAAAACGCATTATGCCGCCTATATTATCTATATTGTAACTACAAAATCATGTTTTATCCTAATTACATGATCAGTAGAAGTCCACCCTTATTGTACCACATTTTTTACAAGTAACAGTTTCGCGATCCCTTTTTCGTTCCACGTACCGGTCCACACTCCAAGTAACCTAGGTCTTGCTTTTTTTTTTTTTTTGGTCTGTCCTTCTCTAACTCTCAACTCACTCTCAGACTTTTGCCCTGCCTCTTGCCGGGCGTGGGAGTCGAAACCCACATCTTAAACTACACGTCCCCATCCCTAGCTTGAAGTATTTGGATATTAGCGATAATTTACTTGACTTTTAGGGTAGATCCCAAGTGGCCCTTTTCCAACTTGGAATCATTCGGATGGATTCCGTCAAATTTGGAGCAACATTTCCACAATGGATGGGACACAAGTGGAGGACCACGGGATATCTCTCTCAAATGGCACCATTTTTGGGGGCTTTGCCCAGATAGTTAGCCTAACATGTCGCTTTTGTGGCTTGATTTCTCCCACAACTCCATCTCTGAACACTCTACCTTGGCCGACTGATACCAGCGAAGTCGAGATAATGAAATTTGACTTTGCTTCAATTTGATTCTATCTTAAATTTGTGGTGCTTAATTTATTATTTTTATTCAATCGATTTTCAGGAAAAAAGTTGGACATGGTTGACCTTTTGAGACCTACTACCCATTTTGTTTTTTTTTTTTTTTTGCCTTTTCTCTCTCTTTTAGGCTATCTCCAACTTTCATATGTTTTTCGTAATTTTCTTTTCTTTAAAGTAATTGCAAAAATAAGCAATGACCATCTCCTAAATTGACACCTACCTGCATTTTTTATTTTTATTTTTGGCCTTATCTTTCTCTTCTGGGCTCACAAAAGATCGTAGAAATAATTTGTCATGGAGCATTCTACAAACATATAACCATTGCAAAAATTTTGCAAGGCAGTAAAAATATGACTTCCTCAATAAGGTGTTGGCTTAAATGGTAATAGAGCTTGCTTCTCTCCTTGTCTCTTAGTTTCAAGTCTTGTTGTGAGCACTTTAAGAGTAAAATTTTGAATGCACCAAGCCGATGTGGGGAGAGCACACCTTTAAGATCGTTCGGGTAAATGAACCAGTTGAGGTGCGCGAACACTGGTATGGATACCACGTGACCGCTAAACTTAAAAACAGAATATCGCTTCTATCTCATCTTCTTTTGAAAAAATACATTTAAACTTTATTATACCATCTTACTTAGATCACGAATAAAGTGAGGCACAGAAGGTGAGTATTATTAGGTAGAAATATTTATGAAAATAATACTTTTATTATAGGAAAGTTGGACAACATTAATATGCAATTGATTTTCTCTTGATTGAAATACATCTATCAAAAGAAAAGCCAACAAAAAGAAAGTTTCTTTAACAGACTAATCGCTTATATTTCCTATGGAGCAAATAATTAGTTATCTTGAAAATAAAGATAGATGTTACTGGAAAAGGGTTCGGAAATAAAGAATCAAATTACATTTGTGATGTTGTGAAAGTGATTACGATATGGCTTCTCCGTTTGTTTTCATTGTTTTGCTTTTTAAGCAATAGCTAACAAAATTCTGTGCATAGCATGGGCAACATAACTAGTCAAGATAATTATTTCGAAATTGTTAATTTGATTAAGATCTTAACTTAAAATGGACGGTGTCTTATAAACACGCATTTATACAAAAAAAAACAAGTGTTATGAATAATGACAAGGAATCAAAAGACTTCCTTCCAAGTTGACTTGGACTTCTCTTCCAGATGGGGTCCAGTCATCAATTTAAAGACTTCAATTCCAAGAGTGGATGTGCCTTTCCTTCCTTACCATAATTATGATAGAGGACCTTAAGTGTGCTGCATATAGAATCTATCATATAACATGCTGGATAGACTTGAGATTTACCTATGATACAATAATTTGGTAGGATTAGTGCACAAACATTCATACATACGGCGAAACCAACATTTCTTCTAATTCATCACAACGGTCTCTTTTCTCTTACCGTTGTTAGTGGCTTTGAGTGTCGATTCGCATGGATTATTGCCTTTTTCTTGAGTAGCGGCACAACAGATGCAGCCGTTCCTTTGCCAACAACTCGACATAACATTGCAGCACTAAAACTGAAAGTACAGGAGAAATGGTACCCCTGGTACCATCACGATATGGTAAACGCAATTCAAATCAAGTTAAGGAAAAGCTTCCACAAATTCATTCACAATGACTAAAACTAGACTCTTTGGTTTCCCAGCTTGCAGGTTGGGTCGAGATATATGAAGGCTTGGCGTTCGTTGCCGTAATGGGCTCGGGACATGAAGTGCCAATGTGTCGCCCCTCCCAGGCACATACTATGCTCAAGAGCTTCCTGTCTAATGCACCAATGCCCAAGCCACCTCCTAAGCAGACAAGCTCCGCCTGAAGTCACTTGAGCTATGATCCCACAAATGCTCAGGTTCATCGTTAAATGAAACGGTTCTGGTCAATCTTTTGTTCTTGATGCAAAACTATTGAAGCCCTTGCAGTATGCTAGAAGCTTGGGAATTTCATAAGAAGTAGTTGGTTGGAAGTGCTTGATATTTCTTCTTGTTAATTTCGAGTTCTCGACTAGAATGCGGAAAGCCAGTGACAATACCAGTTGAATGAAATGGACGTAATTAAGGTTAAAAGATCAGCCTTTTCCTTCTATAAATGTACAGTAAATAATCCTACCACAGACATTACATTCCTTTCTTTTTTTTTCCGTAGAAAGTAACACCACACAATTGACTCGATAAACTGTATTAGCGGTGGCCTCTCTTCTTTTTTCATTTGGACATGACGAGAATATTTTCAGAACCGCCCCTGACATCAACAGGTATTATCCCGGAAGTTGCTTGATTTAACGACATAGATGGAGAGAAGGTTCACTTGACCTGGTGTTATTTGCGAATAGTCAGTATTTTCCTTAACTATAATTGACACTCAAACGGTGGTAGTTACATTTTATAATAATAGAATGCATATGCACAGCAAAGTCTCTCCGTGATTTTGGCCCTTAATTTTCTGACCGAGGAGAACATACTAAAATGAGCATTTCAAACGTCCCAATACACTGATCTTTATTACTTATCCGAAATATATTTTTCGTGCTAATAATTTTTTATTTGAAAACATTATTGAAAATAGTAATTTTTGTTTGAACATGAAACTCAGTGGCTCTGATACGTTCGAAACACATTATACTGCCCACATTATCTTTATTATAACTACAAAATCATGTCTTATCTTAATTACATGATTAAAAGAAGTCTACGCCTATCGCTTGGTACAAATGATGTTCCGCATTCCCATAATTTATTCCCCGTACTCAGGCGATCCACACTTCAAATAACCTAGGTCTAACCTGCAGTGTTTGGATATTAGCGATAATTACCCGACTTTTAGGGCAAAGCCCAACTGGTCCACTGTCCAATTTAGAATTATTCGGATGGGTTGTGTAAAAGTTGGATCGACATTTCCACAATGGATGCAGACACAAGCGGAGGACCATGGCATCTCTCTCTGCAATGCCTCCATTTTGGGGGCTTTGCCTACATGGGTTAGCCAACATGTGAATTTTGTGGCTTGATTTGTCTCACATTCAAATTACCACGCCCTTACTCAATATATATACCTTTTAACGGTTCCAATTTAGATCTCTCAGACAAACTTAATCTCTCTACCTCTTTCAATCGTGTCTCGGTGATATCGTGATGAACGGTACATTTCCATCAACCTTATGGGCAATAAGACTAGTTAACATCGTTATTTCAAAATTAGTAAATTTAGTTAAGATAAATCGTGAAACGGATGGTATCTTTATAAACCCGCAGTGTACACCGGGAAACGACCTTAATATGAATAATAATGAAACGAACACAAAAGACTCTGACGTGATCCGGGACTGGCACTGCAAAAAACTGGACAGAGTTCTGCACTTGCTTCCAAGTTGACTTGGACTTCTCTTCTAGATGGGATCTGGTCGTCAATTTACAGACTCCAACTGCAAGAGTGGATGTGCCTTTTCTCCCTGATGATGACTATCATATGTGGACCTTAAATGTGCTGCATATACATGATACACATGCATACACATAAGGTGCATGTATGTAACCACAACTGGTCACATTAAAAGAGAAATCTCTGCCTGCCCTTCTCTATAAATGATCTAGGTTTGATTAGAGGACCCTTAAACCCTCCACTCTAAAACATGAATTCATCCTCTCCCTCATTGCTCATGGGGAGATATTGTTCCCAAGTGCTCACACTAGTAGTAACTCTATTCCTTATTTTAGATAATTCATGTGTGTGCTTCTGTAGCAATTCAACGTCCATTTGCAAAGAGCAAGAAAGAGAGGCTTTGCTCCAGCTTCGACAAAGCCTCTTGGATCCATCTGGCTTGCTTTCTTTGTGGAAAGGCCAAGATTGCTGCATATGGAAAGGAGTGATTTGTGATAGAGTATATGGTCATGTCATCGAGCTGCAATTACCCCAACCAAGAAATGACGAAACTAGTCTTCATTTTCCCATGGAATCGAAGCTCTTCCTGGCTGGTGAGTTGAACTCTTCTTTGCTCCACTTGAGATACTTGAACCACTTGGACTTAAGCGGGATCGATTCCAATCATCGAAGAATACCCGAATTCCTCAGTTCGATGAAACAATTGAGGAACCTCAATCTGTCATTTGCTAACTTTCATGGAACGGTTCCCCGACAATTGGGAAATCTCACCAAGTTGGAAGTCCTCGATCTTCAAAATTACAATAGAAAATTGATTGTGGATGATACCTCGTGGGTTTCTCATCTTCAATCACTAAAGTACCTCGACATGAGTGGTTTAAAGATTGCAAACGCAAAAGGCCTCATACAGGTGATCATCATGCTCCTATCTTTATCAAATTTGAGCTTATCAGACTGTGGATTAGATAATTGTCATCTGTCTTCTAATCACTTGGTCAATTCTACTTCTCTTGTTCATCTTCAGTACCTCGATCTTTCGATGAATCATTTCAAAGGTCCCATCCCGAGCACTATATTTCAAAACATGACTTCTCTCCAACATCTCGATCTTTCATGGAACTCTTTCAACTCATCAATTCCAATGTGGTTTGACAAGTTTACAAGCCTTGTTCATCTCGATCTCGAGGGAAATCTTTTTGACAGCATTAAAGGAGGCTTATTCTCATTCTTAAAGAACCACCGGTACCTCAAGTCATTGCATTTGTCTTCTAACCAAATCGGAGAAGAGATTTCAACAATCCAAGGAAATTCGTCGGGACTCCATGAGAATAACTTAGAGAGTCTAGAGATACGGGAGAATCATCTTAAGGGTGCTTTGCCCAACTGGTTAGCGCCGTTTACTAACTTAAAACACATTATGCTTCCTGCCAATTCCTTCTCCGGTTCAATCCCTAGTGTCATTGGGTCATTGTCGAACTTGGTAACACTAGATCTTTCAGATAATGGATTGAATGGGACCATTCCATCATCATTAGGTCGGTTGTCGTCATTGAGATGGTTATATCTTTCTAATAATCAGTTGGCAAGGCATATTCCCGAGTCATTAGGGAAATTGCGGGCTTTACAAGAGTTGTGCCTCGACAGTAATCATTTGACCGGTACTATACCCAATAGTTTCGGAAAGCTTTCTCATCTCTTGAGTCTGGATCTTATTAACAATTTTTTGGGAGGTGTGATTTCGGAAATCCATTTTTCTAATATGTCAAGGCTCAAGTATTTGGACGTTAGTGACAATAATAACTTGACTTTCAAGGCAAAATCCAGCTGGATACCCCCTTTCCAACTTCAAATCATTTTGATGGGATCTTGTAAATTCGGAACTCCATTTCCCCAGTGGATTCGGACACAAGTGGAAGCCAAATTTATCGTACTCTCCAATGCTTCCCTTTTTGGGCCCCTGCCAAATTGGTTAGCCAACATGACGTTTGAGGATCTCAATCTATCTCACAATCAAATTACTGGACCCTTGCCTTGCTTATCTTCTAACTGTCACGCTTTGGATCTCTCCCACAACTTGATCTCTGGATCTCTTCCGACAGATATTGGTGTTATGTATCAATTAGTTATTCTGTATCTCAATGATAACCTAATTAATGGTACAATACCGTCATCGTTATGTAACGTGACGGGCATGAGTGCTTTGAATCTTGCCAATAATAAGCTATCTGGCAGTATTCCGGACTGTTGGAAGTGTTTTTCATCTCCCTTAACTTTGTCATTCAATAAGACGTCCGCAGTACCTCCAGGCTCAATGACACCCGCCCTTTCTATCCTACGCTTGAATGGAAACCGTCTCAATGGGGAGATTCCTGGGTCTTTGGGTTGTTGCACAAGGCTAGAAATTTTAGACCTTGGAGAGAATAACTTCTCTGGTAGCATCCCGACATGGTATGGCGAATGCTTTAGGTACTTATCGATCCTGAGGCTACGAGAGAATAGGTTTACGGGAAGCATCCCTCCGTGGCTCTGCTCACTTTTAGGATTGAAAATATTAGACATGGCAGTGAACAATTTGAGGGGAACAATCCCACGTTGTCTTGGCAATATGAGCAGCATGATAAACAGCAGCATGATAAACGTCAATCAAGTCAATCCATTTGCATTTTTACGGCCATTATATCCTTTTTGGGATGTATTATATCCTTTTCGGGATCAGCTTGTGGTTGAGATCATGAAGGGACGATACAATGAATACACCAATATTGATCTGGGTCTTGTGGTCAATTTGGATCTCTCAAGCAACCATTTGACCGGGTCAATCCCCGAAGAATTTGCTTATCTCGCGGGATTGCATGGCTTGAACTTGTCCCACAACCTTCTCTCTGGTGATATGCCCATTGGCATTGGGAACATGAGGTCCCTCGAGTCCCTTGATCTTTCGAACAACCACCTCTCGGGGACGATTCCGCAGGGCATTTCAGCGTTAACATTTCTGGGCCACCTCAACCTGTCTCAAAACAACTTCTCCGGGCAGATTCCAGAAGGAAATCAAATCCAGACACTTGACGATCCTTCCATTTATGCCGGCAATCCTCTACTCTGCGGTGATCTTCTAAGAAGAAAATGCCTCGATGCCGAGGCGCCTCAACCTCCAAAAATCCCTCACCCTGAAGATACACATGACGAGGATAAGCTTGAAGAGGCCTTGTTCTACGGGGTCGTAATGCTTGGGTTTGCGACTGGGTTTTGGGGCTTCTTTGGTGTTTTGCAGGTCAAGAGGGATTGGAGACGTGCATATTTCAGCTTTGCGGATCATGCAACAGACAAGGCATACGTGGCTATAGTGGTGAAGGTAGCCAAGATGAAGAGACTGAGACGGTCAAGAAGCACATAAATAATGAGCAATCTCTTGCCGTCTCCTCCCCTGCCTTTGGTTCTTCATTTGGGGCTGTGTGAAATTTCTTGTGCTTTCCAATAGTTGGCTTATTGATGTAATGTAATAAGAGTGCTGTAAGGTTTCCAACTTTGTCGCAGAATATGATGTCTGCAGATTGAGAGATGGGCTTCAATTGTGATGGATGCATGGATGCTCTCCCACCAAGCTGAAGGTGGAGAAAAAGAAGTGAAGCGAAAGACGCGGTCATTTTCCCAGATTCAAAGTTGAATACAACTAAAATTTCAAGTCCGAAAGAGGGTTAATGATAAATTTAGAGACAAAGAACGCAAACACAATTTAACGAGGTTCGGCTAAGTAAGCCTACGTCCTCGGGAATCCTCTCTCAAAGTTTCTTTTGTTATAAATTCTTTGAGAGAGAGACTGCCTTTTTATTGATAGAGGTACATAATTGTTTCCAGAATTACAGGGAATGTACAGAGTAACAATTGAACAAGGAAAGAACACCAAATCAGGAGAATATCCTATAATTTTCTCCTACCAAAATAGGAGGATCCCGTCGATTTGGTCAACACTCCCCCTCAAGTTGGACCGAAGATATCATCAGAGGTCAACTTGTTCACCATGTCCTGAAATGGTCCTTTAGCAAGGGCTTTGGTGAAAATATCGGCCAACTGATCTTCACTTCGAACATAGGGAGTTTCAATGGTGTTATCCTGAACCTTTTTCGAACATAGGGAGTTTCAACGAAAAAAAGATTCGTTGGAAATCGCGAATTTTTGCGAAAAATAATTTTCGGTGATAATTTCCAACGAAAAAAAAAATTCGTTGGAAATCCCGCATTTTTCCGACAAAAAAATTTCGTTGGTAATTTCCGACGAAAAAAAATTCGTTGGAAATCCCTCATATTTCGGCCAAGAAATTACAATTTTCGTTTTTAATTCCCAACGAAAAAAAAACTTCGTTGGAAAACCCGAATTTTTCCGACAAAAAAAATTTTCGTTGGTAATTTCCGACGAAAAAAAAAATCGTTGGAAATCTCGAATTTTTCCGACAAACGAATTTTCGTTGGTAATTTCCGACAAAAATAAAATTCGTTGGAAATCCCGAATATTTCCCACACGAAATTACAATTTTCGTTTTGAATTTCCAACGAAAAAAAAATTCGTTGGAAATTGCGAACTTTTCCGACAAACAATTTTCGTTGGTAATTTCCGACGAAAAAAAAATTCGTTGGAAATCGGGAATTTTTCTCACAAACAATTTTCGTGTTAATTTCCAACGAAAAAAAAATTCGTTGGAAATCTCGAATTTTTCCGACAAACGAATTTTCGTTGGTAATTTCCGACAAAAATAAAATTCGTTGGAAATCCCGAATATTTCCCGCACGAAATTACAATTTTCGTTTTGAATTTCCAACGAAAAACAAATTCGTTGGAAATTGCGAACTTTTCCGACAAACAATTTTTGTTGGTAATTTCCGACGAAAAAAAATTCGTTGGAAAACCCGAATTTTTCTCAAAAACAATTTTCGTGTTAATTTCCAATGAAAAAAAAATTCGTTGGAAATCTCGAATTTTTCCGACAAACGAATTTTCGTTGGTAATTTCCGACAAAAATAAAATTCGTTGGAAATCGCTAATATTTCCCACACGAAATTACAATTTTCGTTTTGAATTTCCAACGAAAAAACAATTCGTTGGAAATTGCGAACTTTTCCGACAAACAATTTTCGTTGGTAACTTCCGACGAAAAAAAAATTCGTTGGAAATCGGGAATTTTTCTCACAAACAATTTTCGTGTTAATTTCCAACGAAAAAAAAATTCGTTGGAAATCTCGAATTTTTCCGACAAACGAATTTTCGTTGGTAATTTCCGACAAAAATAAAATTCGTTGGAAATCCCGAATATTTCCCACAATAAATTACAATTTTCGTTGTTAATTTCCGACGAAAAAAAAATTCGTTGGAAATGTGGGATTTTTCCGACAAAAATTTTTCCTTGTTAATTTCCAACGAAAAAAAAATTCGTTGGAAATTTCGAATATTTCCCACACGAAATTACAATTTTCGTTTTTAATTTCCAACAAAAAAAAATTCGTTGGAACTTGCGAACTTTTCCGACAAATAATTTTCGTTGGTAATTTCCGACGAAAAAAAAATTCGTTGGAAATCGGGAATTTTTCTCACAAACAATTTTCGTGTTAATTTCCAACGAAAAAAAAAATTCGTTGGAAATCTCGAATTTTTCCGACAAGCGAATTTTCGTTGGTAATTTCCGACAAAAATAAAATTCGTTGGAAATCCCGAATATTTCCCACAATAAATTACAATTTTCGTTGTTAATTTCCGACGAAAAAAAAATTCGTTGGAAATGTGGGATTTTTCCGACAAAAAATTTTCGTTGTTAATTTCCAACGAAAAAAAAATTCGTTGGAAATTTCGAATATTTCCCACACGAAATTACAATTTTCGTTTTTAATTTCCAACGAAAAAAAAATTCGTTGGAAATTGCGAACTTTTCTGACAAATAGTTTTCATTGGTAATTTCCGACGAAAAAAAAATTCGTTGGAAATCGGGAATTTTTCTCACAAACAATTTTCGTGTTAATTTCCAACGAAAAAAAAATTCGTTGGAAATCTCGAATTTTTCCGACAAACGAATTTTCGTTGGTAATTTCCGACAAAAATAAAATTCGTTGGAAATCCCGAATATTTCCCACAATAAATTACAATTTTCGTTGTTAATTTCCGACGAAAAAAAAATTCGTTGGAAATGTGGGATTTTTCCGACAAAAATTTTTCCTTGTTAATTTCCAACGAAAAAAAAATTCGTTGGAAATCGCAATTTTTTCCGACAAAAAATTGCAAGTTTCGTTGGTAATTTCCGACGAAAATTTAATTCGTTGGAAAAATAATATATAAATTGTTTTTTTTTTTCCAACGAAAAATAATATATAAATTCATCCTTATTCGTTGCAAAAAAATCGTGGAAAATCCGCGAAATTTTCATCCAAAAAGTTAAAATTTTCATTGGTAATTTCCAACGAAAACAACATTTGTGGGAAAATACGTTGCAAAATTTGACGCTAATTATTCGATGCAAAAATCGTTGGAAATTCGATTTTTTTCCATCAAAAAAATTCAATTTTCGTTGGTAATTTGCAACGAAAGCTATTCGTGACAAAATTCGTCGCTAAGTTTGCGACGAATTTGATTTAGCGATAATTTCGATTTTAAATCTAATTATTATCAATATTAATTTTTTTTTGGTAAGAAAGCAATAGTAATTTCTACAATGCATAAGTTGCAAAGTCTCATATGATGATATTCGATTTTCAATCTCATAATACGAAGAGGCAGCTAAGTACTAATGAACATAAGGTAATACATTCAAAACATTGAAAGAACGCGGGACAACCATAAAAACGTTGGCAGTTTTGGTACTCGAGAATGAACTAGGAAGGACTGACAATAAAATCATCAGCATCATCATCATCACCATCACCATTCGCCGCATCATTTTGTGGCTCAGCATTATGCCCATCATCAATTGGATTAATATGAGGTAGAGGAGGAACCTCATTGCGATCGATGTCGAGATGTCGCATGACAATTTGCAGTTGTTGTTGCATCACCCTTATTTGTTCGTCCTTCTGTCCAAGTAAATACTTCGTTTCTTCGTCCTTCTGTACAAGCAACTGCTTCAGTTGGCTCAATTCTTGGGTTATCTGCTCCTCACGTTGTGTCCTCCTTGAAACAGCTGCATTGGAGGACGAAGTTGCACCAACCTTCGATTTGTACATCCTTGACAAGGATCCCATCCCAAATATTTTTCCTCCTTTCATCCCACCCGCTGCCTCCACCCATAATGCCATACTGTCAACCGATGGCTCAGACACAGCACGACCATCACCACCATCACCACCACCATCACCACCACCACCACCACCACCACCACCACCATCACCACCATCACCACCAGCAATGCTCATTAAAAGTTCATCATATTTTTCCTATATTAACATTATAGATGGAAATAAAATAAATTCATATATATTACCATAAATATTAAAACATTCATGATTTTCATTCTAGTTTCCTATAAGTCCGAACTATAACCTTACATACCTTAGTAGCTTTTGCTCGAGCGCCAGTCCATGTCTTATCTTTTTTTTGGAATGTGCGTTCAAATGTAGCCGTAAAAGTGGGTTCCGTCCCCAATTCATCTGCCTACAAAATATAAACATAAATGACTAATCATTACATTAAATGCACTGACATGTATAAACAGACTTACCATTCTTCTTTTATGCTCCCCGATGCTGATAGAGCCCCCAGCATATGTGGCAGACGCAGACCCGTCACTAAAACTAGAAGCTCGATTCTTCTTGTTCTGTTCACACCTTAGCTTATACTTCTCAGTTTCCCAAGTTCTTGTAATTTCCGTCCAATTGTCAGTTGTAAAAAAGGTCGGCTTTTCATTTTTTCTCTTTGCTCTATTTATCACATATCGCATGTGATCACCGATTTTCTTCTTGAAAATTCTTTTAACCTCATCCTCTTCCATTTCATCCCACGTGAACTTACGTTACAATTAATAGAAAAACAACTGAAAATTATCCACTAGGGTCACATGTCACATATCCATTACAATGTACCAGACAATTCGTGACAAAATTCATTATTGACCATCAATATGCTACACCGAACTTAGTTTGTGAAGGAAGACAACACTAACCTTAAACTCATTCCACCACAAAGTCTTTAGTTCTGCGGGAGCGCTGCTAAAAGTAATAAACTGGCCCATCCAACAGTTATTGACTATTTTATTCAGTTCCCTCACAACATGCGTAGAATCTGTGAATCTGAAAACATGTTATAACAATACGGACAATGAGACAATGAAGCATATGGATAATTCGCAACACGAACAATTTTATTTACATTGATAATTTATATATACGTAAAAAAATGAAGTACTTACGAATCTCCACATGGGCATATAATGAATCGAGTATCTTCTTCATCATTCGAGTGTTGCGCTGAAGAAGAAAGTGGAACCGAAGGAGATCGAATCGGAGATGGAACTGAAGTAAATTCAGTTCGCATGTCCCGAGGTTCTACCCTAATATGTTGTTGAGGGTCGAAGGATGGGCCAATGTG